ACAGAAGGACCTCCCACACCAAGGGTGGCGTCCTGGAGAGCCTTCTCCCAGTTGTAGTCCCATAGTCCCATGTGTGCATTGTCTCAGGGTGACCCAGGTTGTTCTGTCCTCACAGCAGGGACACTCTGTGGCTCAAGTTCCTCCTTTAAGTGTCTCCCTGTGCTGGCCTCCTTTCCCAGTCTACACACTCAGCCGTGGTGTGTGTGTGTGTGTGTGTGTGTGTGTGTGTGTGTGGTGTGGTGTGTAAATACAGTGCCTGTGGAAGCCAGAAGATGGCATTGGATTCTCTGGAACCAGAGCTGTGGCACTTATGAGCTGTCCAGCATGGGTGCTGGAATCCAAACAGTTCTTCTGGAAGAGCAGCAGGTGCTTCTAACCACCGAGCAAGCTCTCCTGTACCCCCTAACCATACACTTTTTAGAGGCAGAAAATAGACACATGCCTTTGCTACAAAAATACTTATGGCTGCCTATAGAATGGGAAAAGTTCTTTACCACCTCCACATCCGACAGAGGGCTGATCTCCAAAATATATAAAGAATTCAAGAAACTAGACAACGTTTGCCAAGTAATCCAATTAAAAAATGGGTTATAGATCTAAACAGAATTCTCAACAAAAGAATCTCAAATGGCCGAAAAACACTTAAGGGATTGCTCAACATCCTTAGCCATCAGGGAAATGCAAATCAAAATGACACTAAGATACCATCTTACACCTGTCAGAATGGCTAAGATCAAAAACAGCAAAGACAGCTTATGTTGGAGAGGATGCAGAAAAAGGGGAGCATTCCTCCACTGCTGATGGGAGTGAAAACTTGTACAGCCACTCTGGAAATCAGTATGGCAGTTTATCAGAAAATTGGGAATCAACCTACCTCAACCTCCCCGAGCTAGCAAACAATTTATTGTACACATGCAAGTTCTCCAATAACCAGATATTCATTTGCAGTTCGCTCACAGTCAGAGTCGGTGCTAGGATTTCAGGACTTGATTCTGCAACTATCTAGGATAACATTGAGACCAAGGTGGTTACCGCACTTGGAAACTTTCGTTTCTCCTGGTAGGAGAGGGAGAAGTGTCCCAGCTTGAAGATGTGAACACAGTAAAAAACAGCTCCCTTCGTCGTCTAAGGTGCCACCTCCATTCAGGGACTGGACAGATGGGCATCTGTTTATAGAGCTAAGTGACACAGCATTCAGATGCTCCTTGGCATTCTCTACAACAGGCTTGATGCTCATATAACAAGCTAGACCTTTGGCTCCAGAGGGCAACTGTGACGCCCAGATCACCGAGAACTGCTTCCCTCCTGGAGTGGTCTACGAATCTACTAGATTCTTGGGCTTAATTGTTATGAGTGAAAACAGATGCCTTCTCTGTTCCCGATACCTGGCCCCTCCCCGCCTTGCCTTCTGAGGTACAGCTGTTGAGGGGCATGAGCTGTTCTACTGACACTTAATGGTTGCTTTCACAGCACAGCACAGCACAGCACAGGGATCCATCACCCATTCAGCATTGCTGTGTGTTTTCAGAGGTTGTGGCTTCATAGGACACGAGAGTGATTCTATGACTATGGAAGGTGACATTTTTTCAAAAGTAAAATTGACTGAAGCATGTGGAACCCTAAAGTTAATACTTTAAAGTTTGTTTGTTTTTGAAACAGGGTTTCTCCGTGTAGCTTTGGAGCCTCTTCTGGAACTTGCTCTGTAGCCCAAGCTGGCCTTGTCCTCTTGTCTCTGCCTCCCAAGTGCTAGGATTGAAGGCATATGCCACCACTGCCTGGCCTCAACCTCAAATTTTATGTTTTATTTTTGTTTGTATTTTTTCATTTTTAAAAAAATGTTTCATATTTTCCCCACTTCCATTTCCTCCCCTCAAACCTTCCCACATACTCCTCTTTGCTCTCTTTGTGGGGGAGGATGTGGGATGCCCTTCTGTGAATGATTTATTATCACTGATTAATAAAAAGCTGATTTGGCCAATAGCCAGGCAGAACAGAGCCAGGCAGGAAATCCAAGCAGAGACACAGGGAAAAAGAAGGCAGAGTCAGGGGGATGTAAGATGTGAGGTAACAAGCCATGAGCCTTGTGGCAAAATAACAGAAATGGGTTAATTTAATTAATAATAAGCCTGAGCTAATAGGCCAAACAGTCTGTAATTAATATTAAGCCTCAGAGTGATTATTCAGGATCTGACAGGTAGGAGAGAAACCTCCAATTGTGTTTGTGATTCCTAAATATATAAATACCACCTGCTAGGATTAGACCTTTGGCTTCTAATCTCAAGTTTTAAAAAGCAATGCTGTTAAGTATAGTTTCCAAAGCCATTTTCTTTCCTTTCATGACATACAGTCCACAGCTTGTAGTGTACGCGTGTACGAAGGAAGCAGTGGGACCCCTCTTCAGGACACGGACACCTGTGTCGGTTCCTTTTCTGTTGCTGGGTTAAAACACCGTAGCCAAAAGCAGCTTCCAGAAGGGTTTATTTTGGCTTATGGTTCTAGAGAGTCCGTAATGTCTGATTACCCTTTACCTGCACAGGAAGCAGAGGAGCAGCAGGAAGTGAGCAAGGTAATCAGTTCCCAAGGCCTGCCCCCAGTGATGGACTTCCTTCATCAGAGTTCCATTAAAATTTTAGAATTTCTCCAAATAGCATCACAACTGGAGACATCCATTACATGAGTCTCTGTGGAAACATTTCTCTGTCAGGCCATGACACATGTCAATCAACTGCCCTTCTTTCTCCTTTCAGAATGACTGCCAACACCCCTGTACCATTATTTCAATTGGTGTAGTTTTGAGGAGGGTATCTGCCAATATTTTGTGTTGGTGAACCTCCTCCCCTTGGGCTGTTTGACACCCATATCCTAGAATAAATTCTCCTGTTCGGTGGAACTGCCTGTGGACACAGCACATTGGCAGCACAGTGTGGCTGACTCACATGCCCTGGCTGCCAACGAACAAAGCATGTTTGTGTCTCCCCATCTGCATTTAGCCAGTGGCTTCTCTTTAGTTTTCTTATTTTTCAACCATACTTGCTGTTAGGAGTTACAGATTTAATAATAAAGGGAACCCTGCTGGCTGCCTCTTTCCTCTGTCTCACCACTCAGTTAAGCGGTCAATAGTGGCTCCTTCTCTTACCTCTTCTCTTAAACAAAACAGCAAGTCCAGATGGAAGTATTTTGATTTTAAACTGGAGTTAAAAGTAAAGACCCAATTTTATCATAATTAACCTTAAACACCCTCTGGGCTCTACCTTGGCAGTGTTGAGGTGATTGGGAGTGAGCATTGCTGTTGGATGCATGGAGCTAAGAGACTAAATGTCTGTCTTCAGGACCCTGCAAAACCTTTGTAGAGCCGAGGACTAACCATGTTGGAAAGTACATAACCCCAGATGAGCATGAACTGCAAGCATGGTACAAACTCAGTCAAGAAATTATTTCCAGCTGAGCCCCTCATGGCCTCAAGGATGATGTAAAATGTAATTCGAGCTTTCAGAATGAGGTAAAGTTTTGACATAGAGAGAGAGGGCAAGAAGCCATTTCTGTGTGTGACGAATGAGTATATCCAAAACCAAAGACTGTTAGAGCAACTACAGATGGAGTAGTTTGGCTTGAAGGAAAAGGTCCTGTTGGGATCAAGCATGGACTATGTTAAACACTGGGAAAATGGCTGTGGGCTGAGCAGAAACGGACAGGAGCGGGGCATTGGGGAGCTTAGCTTGTCTGTTGACTCAGATAGGATGGAGTGACCAAGACAAAGGCGTAATGCAGCAGAGCTGAGGAATACATCTTTTGCACTCACTCTCTTCCTTCCCATTTCTTGCTGATTTTCTCCCATCCTTTGGTAAGATAGCAAGGAACCCACCAGTGTGATCCCTACTGGTCAGCCTGTGGGGGCAGAGAGGAACTAAGGGCCCAGACAGAAGCAGCAGTCATAAGGAGCGCCCTCACCAGAGTGGCAGTAGCCTACAGGGACACTGGGAGGCCATGCAGAGAGGAAGTTTCTCATGCGCTCTCAGAGGGCAAAGCCAGAGGATCCAGAGAAGTAAATCTCAGTCTCCTTTCAGAGCCCAGAAAACAGAGCCCAGCAGGGGGAGCGAATTAGGCAGAGCTGGTGTCGCAGCTGATGGACTGTCACCTTCTCATCCATCTCTGCCGCTCTTCTTGTGGCCAGAGGGCATCCATAAGTTTCCCTGTCTTGGCCGAGACCCACCACACTGTCTTCCCACTGTGCAGCATGTTCACGGCCTCAGTTGTCACTCTGGGGATGAGCCAAACATGGTGCAGCCATTGCAGGTAGATAGGGTGTGTCGCCGCAGTTAGCAGTCATCGAGGGCTTTGCAGAATCAGCGCTGTTTCAAGAGAATAATAAATTCACCCATGATGGATCCCGGAGATTCATCCAGCACTGTTGACATGCAGTAGTTTCTGTAGGCTACCATGTGCATATATGTGCACGTGTGTGTGATGCCCTCAGTACCAGCTATACATAGGCTATTGTGTTGTCATTTCCTTCAATGCTGAACAATTTCCTGTCTAGCAAATTTTCTAAGAATTTGAGTTTTAATAGCCATAATATTTTTTAAGTGGGTGTAGTATTTATTTTTTCAAAAAGTTATGTTATTAGCCATTTTGGTTGTTTATGTTTTGGCTATGATAAATGATACTATAACATATAGCTATATATTAAATGTAAATAAAATGATATCCATATCTAAGTAGTGTGCTTGTCTGTTTCTCTAGAAACAGGCACTGACAGTGAAGATGTTAGGTAGTTGGGTAGGTAGGCATGCTGGCTCAAACCTGCAATTCCAGCACTGGACTTACTGGGAAGGCTGAGGCAGGAGAATCTGGAGTCAGCTAGCCTGGGCTACATCACACACACACACACACACACACACACACACACACACACACACACACACACACACACACGTGTTTCTTGGTACTGTGTAGTCCTGCAACCCTTTCTTACATCTTTCCCCGTGTCCTTCCTTCCCCAGAGCTCACCTTCAAGCTCTACCAGCGGGCCAAGCACGTGTACAGCGAGGCCGCGCGTGTGCTGCAGTTTAAGCAGGTGTGTGAAGAAGCGCCTGCCAATGCTGTCCAGCTGCTGGGCGAGCTGATGAACCAGAGCCACAGAAGCTGCCGGGACATGTATGAGTGCAGCTGCCCCGAGCTGGACCAGCTGGTGGATATCTGCCGGTGAGCGGAGAGGGCTATGTGAGGGCCAAGCCATGGCTTCAGGGAATGCAGTTTCAACTAACAAAAAGCCATATTCTCATAATTTAGGCGAATCCTTCCTATATGATGGTGGACTCCATTCACCATGATGTAGAGCCCCCATCTTCTTCTGAACATCTGCCGGGTGGTTTGAGACCTGCTTTATGGGGCTCAGCAGTCAGTCTGGAGCCAGTTCCATTACTAGGTGACTAGACCTCACAGGAAGGCAGCTTTTCTCTGACATGGGCATTTTATGTATTTCGCAAACCCCTAGGAACCTAATGGAGTTAGTTCTGTCCAGAAGAGAGAGTCAGAAAAAAGGTCTTGAGAGTTCCACTGAAGGAGGTGGGCTGGAAGAATCACTTGGAAAGCCCCATCTCCTGGGCTGCCATATTTATTTTGGGCAGTTAGTGGAAACAAAGACCAAAGAAAGGCCAGTTTATAAACTTGGCTGTGATCCAAGTGTGAAGAGAGAGTCTCTTTCACAGAACCTCCAGACCTCGCTGTGGTCATTGTGCAAGAATGGGGATAATAGAGTGGCCTTTCCAGGGAGGTCCCACGCTGACCTTGGCCAACTGAAAGGGAAATTGGAGGGGAATCAGGTGACTTGCGTTAGCCCCCTCTGACAAGATGACACAGCCCTGCACGCAACTAGCAATGGAAATGAAATTAGTCACTTGGCGCCTGTGGCTTGCGCGGCTCATGCCACACCCAGCCAGAGAGTTGGAGCCGAACAGCCCTAGTGGGTCACAGATGGCATGCGGAACCTGCCTGTCCCGTCCAGAAGCCGGCACACAGCACGGCTGAGGCACTTCCTGTCGTCAGCCTTTGCTCACTAATTGCCAAGGTCCTTTCCAGAGCTCATTTTACTTTAAATACTCTTTTTTAAAAAAAGTATTCGGAGCCCAGTAAGTGGAAGAGACAAATGATGTTCAGTTGTGGATATTAGATGAAGTGGAATGATTTAAGCAGAAATGAGGAAGAAGTATCTTGGCTTGGAAGCCGGTGGGAAGGTTGAATCCTCCCAGAAACAATATGGAGGAGATCTGCCAGCCTCCTGGAATTCTCCAGTGTGCTCTCTTCTCCTAGGATGGTCACCAGCACTGGCTTATGTTTCTGTGGGCAGAGGGATCAGTGATAATTGGAAAATACCTTGGTTGCTAGTGATCAATGTCGTGGACAGAGCTGCAAGGGGTAGTGACTGCCGGGGTAACCTTTATATGCAGTGATTGGAGAAGACTCTGTAAGAGAGCAACGCTTGGCTAGAGACCCGAAGGATCAACAGGAAGGCAGGCTGTTGTGTATCAGACACAGCAGGGAAGGAAGGAGGGAGCAACAGTGAAGTCAAAGAGGTCATGGACATGCCACACTGCATGGACCCCGTTAGCTGTGGGAAGGAGCCACACTGCATGGACCCCGTTAGCTGTGGGAAGGAGCCACACTGCATGGACCCTGTTAGCTGTGGGAAGGATTCTGGCTTCCAGAAGAGAAGGGAGCAACATGTGATGATTCAGTGCCAGGTATTTGTGAAGGAAGGTTCTAGACCATTGGTGTGTGGGAGGAAGAGAGGAATCAAGAGGACTTCTGGATTTTTTTGAGTGAGAAAATGCTTTTTTTTTCTAAAATTAGGTTTTTTTTTTTGTTTTTTTTTTGTTTTTTTTTTTTTTTTAGGGGGACAGCTGTTTTTTACAACTCTAAATCAGAATTACCTCACACTGCCATGGGCATTAGTGCAAGAAAGACAGAAGAAGCAATGGGTCTAGAAAGTTGAGCAGCTTCCCACAGAAAGTTGGTGGGAGAGTCTGGCTCTCATGCCTGCTGCCCTTCCTCAGGATTGTGCTGTGATGATTACATCTAGCACTGGGCCATGCTCATGATTTCTTTCCTTTGTCTGAAGCTCTCTAGTGAGAAGCCTTGTTGTCATGGCCTCTAGCATTTTAACGTGGAGCACAGCCTGGTGGGGCAGGGTGGGGTGTGTGTTAGGAGGTAGGTGGGACAGGGTGCGGTGTGCGTCAGGAGTGGGTTAGCCTGGTGGGGCAGGGTGGGGCGTGTGTTAGGAGGCAGGTTGGACAGTGGGAAGCTGAGCTCTGCTTCTCATTCACAGTGCTGACCTTGAATGGTCATGTGCTGTCCAGTGAGACCATCTCTGCAGGAATCCTGTGTGGTTCTAGGGAGAGATTTTAAGAGTACGTCTTACATGACTTTGGAAATATAACTTATTTAATTATAAATTTTGTTTTAGAAACTCTCTAAAATATTTAGAGAGAGAGAGAGTGAGAGAGTGAGAGAGAATCTGTATGCGATACGTGAGTTTATTTGCCCACAGAGACCAGAAGAGGGTTTCAAGTCTCCTGGAGCTGGAGTTACAGGCAGTTATGAGCACAGATGCTGAGACCTGAACCTGGGTCCTCTGGAGAATAGCAAACTGTCTTAACAGCTGGGCATCCCTTCACCCACTAGAGAGTTCTTACTGGTGGTGAGATGTTTCTGACTAGACTCTACATCTGGCGCATTAGTTTTCTGGGCAAAATATTTAGCTGTCCAGATTAAGGAACTTTGCCCTCCTTTACATGGTGGTGCTCAGGTTTGGATTCAGGACCTCCTTTACTCTGCCATACACTGCCCCCATCCCAGGGTTGTTTTTGTTTATAAAGCCTATTGCTATAAACCAAGTTCTTTTTCCTTGCATTGTTTCTTTTTGAGATGGGGTAAGGGCTGGCCTTAAATTCGTGACTGTTCTCTCAGCCTTCCAGGTGCTGGGATTATGGTTATATATCTCCAGGTCTGGGCTTAGATGAATTTTGGTTTATTCCATGATCATATCCTTCTGTTTCCCAGACTGAGACGTTATCTTCCAGAATAATGAGAATGTCGGCCCAGGTAGTTGGGTCCGTAGGCCCCTTATGTAGTGACTATTTTCTCTGCTGTTATGTAACCGTATGTCATGTCCTGCAAATGTCCTAGTAGTGCCACACTCTCATGTCAGGACCCTGGCACCATAGTCACAGGGGAGCAGGTTCCATTGCTAGTGCCACCTTCCTTACCCAAAGTCATCCTGAACCTCACACAGAAGCCAAGGTGCTGTCTCTATATGGGTGTTTGGGAGTGCTAATGCAGGAAGGGAGCTGAAGACTGTCAGAGATATTAGGAGTAAGGGAAGTAAAGGATGGAAAAAACCAAAACCAAACCAAACCCGGGGGAGGTAGGGAGCAGAAGGGCGTGATCATGGAGCCCGGGAGCCCTGGAGGCTGGGAGGCTGGGAGCAAAGGTACCACCAGGAGACCTGGCTGCCTGCTGCTGGTCCTTGGGAGACAAGATAATGGAAGAGGGAAACAGAAATGGGTTCGGGGAGTATTGCCAGTGACATTTGCCACCCTCACCCTTGGCTACCTTGTAGCACTTTAAAAAGTTTTCTATGTTTGGGAAAAGTTTTTGAAAATTATTTTCATGAAGAGTTGAGTGAGGGAATCCCACAGACCCCCACCCAGTGGAGGTTTATGTGACCTGAGGCAGACTGCATTTCCAAGGTAGTGCTTAGTCGTCAGTCAGTAGGACACACCAGAAACGCGTCCATGATCCCAGGGGAACAGAGGGAAAAGAGAGACAGTACTAATGTTTGTTCTTCCTTTTCTTCTTCTTCCCTACTCATCAAGAGAAAAATCAGTTTAGAGCACAAAGGAAGGACCAAGAGCTAAGCGTGAGGCTGGGGCATGGAAACTCATGGGAGCTACATAGGAGCTCTTGTCCAGCCAGGAGCTGCAGGATGAGACCCTGTCAAAACAGAAAAGAGAAAATACCAGAAGGAAATTACACTTATGTAGTTAGGTTGTTTTTTTTTTTTAAAATTAAATTAATGTTAGAATTTTAATTAGATGAGATGAAATAATGAAGGAAGAAGGCAATCTTTGCCCAATTATAAAATGTCTATATTAAATGAATGAACCGTAAATTTAAATTTAAAGTAGAATTTCCTGAGGAACACAGAACAGTTTTGAAGCCAAGTTGGTTACATGTGGGGCAGCTCGTTTGTTACAATTCCTTAGCTTTACTTAAGGAAAAAAAGACTAATGCTTTTTGTTTCTTTTTGGTCACTTGTTGAAATTAGAGCAGATTCCTCCGTGTATTATTGTTGCTATTGCCCAAGCTATTGAAGAAGACAAATGGCAGGTTTTGGAATGAGAACGGATACAGACATGCCTTAGCCTGACTCTCCTCAGGAGTCTTTTCTCAGCCTGGATCCCACAGCTGGGCGGCTCAGCCTCCTGAGCCCCTCTTCACCAAGTCAAAGTCATGTGTGGTTTCTCACTGAGCCATGGGCTGACCTGCATGCCCTGCCATGGAGGAGGGAGAGTACCACTCTACCTGTCATGGTGGACTCACATCTCCTTGGGCAAATGTCTTCAGTTCCAGGGTGTTGTGAGTTACCATTCTCCAAGGCAGGTGACAGCCATTTTAGTTACTAAGCTGTGACAGTTTGCAAGGTCATTTTAGTTGGGCTTGTCTGTTTACACCCCTGCATGGAGGGTATGGGAAGGCCACAAACCCTCACCTGCATATCCAGCCACATCCAACCTTGCCCTAAATTGTAGTTGGCCTCGGGGAAGGGCTAGATTATAAATGCCGGAAGTGTACAGGAGGGCAGCTTTCCATGTGGCAAAGAGGAAGCCCCCATCCTTGCTGAGAAAGCTTTTCTAGGTGTAGCTTTTTGGGGAACACTAGAATACACACACACAGGGTAAGTAATGCCTTACCTGTGCTATACAACGAAACCCAATAAACTCACTGATTGCCTACCACACCTGTTTGTTGTTGGGACCTTAGGAGGAGGGTGGATTCTGCTTAATTTCCCCCTGGGAAGGTACTGTAGGAACACTGGTATACTATATACTCTATTTGCTCAAACAAAAGTCCTGCTTCTCAGTGGCCTTTGGTGCCCCACATTCTGAAACCCATCTCTAGACATGTTTTCTCCTTCCTTCTTACCTCAGCAGCACGGGAAGACTGCGACTCTAAAGTCTTATCTGTAATAAATCGAGGTATAAAAACTTAGGGAAGTTATTCTGGAAGGTTAATTTTTCTGATATTCTTGCCTCCAGTTCCCAAAGAGAAGAAGCTGGGACTCTGCAGTGGAGACACTGTACATTGCTTATATTTATCCAGCGCAATATCTGTGTTTTAAAATGGAAGTCCAGCTGCATGTATTACAACCTACCAAAAAACTAGAGCTGTGCTTATCCTGGGCAGAGATGGGTATGAACTGCCTCTACATCCCAGGTCCCTCAAACAATTCACGCCTATTTGCATAAAACATAAATGTTTAGTTATTTTGAAATGAATCAAAATGCAAGGCATGGTTTGCTGTCTTCTCTCTTTCTAATTTGCAGCAATTGGGTCTCTCTGTTCCCTGCCACCCTTTGCACTCTGTCTTACACCTTAGTCAAAGCTTTTTCATCAGCCAGGTTCACTGAAAGCAGGACATTGGGGTAGACAGTAACAGGCCGGGCAGTCAGTTATGGGTCTTCCCCCAACCCTTTGCTGTGCAATATTGTTGCTTTGACAGTCCTTTTTATACCTTCTCTACCATCTTCATCACAATGATATATGTGAGATTTTATGCAATTTTCCTGTTTATTCTCTGATATGTTACAGTGAAGAAGATACATTTTTAATTTTTCACTATTTTCTCAAGACTTCAAATGTGAGGTGTACTAAATAGTATTTCCTTAATTAACACCTTTGTTGGTCTCCCAACTTTAGACCTTCCTTGTGGTTTCAGAGACGTGTGTGTGTGTGTGTGTGTGTGTGTGCGCGCGCGCGCGCGCGCGCGCGCGCAAAGGGTACATCAAGGACCACTGGGAAACGTTGCAGTTAAGACTTTCCTACCTCCATCCCCGTGTGTGTTTTGTGTGTGTGTAGCTGGGCAAGACAGACTGATGACTACTGATACAGCCGCTTCTGGTTTGTGAACACAAATGCTGTTGATTATGGACAGAAGCCTATGTATTATAGCATTTATTTTTTTATTTTTTATTTAAGTTTTTCGTATGGCATATTTTGATCATATCAGTCATTTATTTCCTTTCTCCAACTCTTCACAGGCCTCCCACATCCCTATCCACCCAACTCCTTGGTTTTTTTCTGTCTTAAAAAAAATGAAAATCTTGACTCAGATGATTTTGCAGCCTGGGTTGATGTACTTTAGCCCATTCTCTTCTGCACCAGGCAGGGTGGCCACAGAGCAGTTTGAACATTTAGAGGCAAATTAATTTGCCTAGAAGTCTCTCCCCTTAGCCTCAGCTCAGTGTAAACTGACACATGGTTTGGGAAAAAGGATCTCTTGCAGCTAGATCAGAAACAACACTGTTTCAAAATCATTTCTCTCTCTCTCTAAAATGTTTTGAGACAGGCTCTCACTATGTATTCCTGTCCTGAAGCAGGTTGGGCTCACACTTTCTGTAACCACCTATCCTCTGCCTCCCATGTGTGCACAAGCATTCTGTTCCATTGTTCAAATCAGAAGTGTATGAAAGTGTGCCTGAAAGGCCCAGGGAAGGCAGTTACAGAGCTGGTGGATTGTACTCACAGCGCACCATCCCATATCATCTTCATAGAACTTGGGAAGGGGTGGGTTCTGTTACAAGTAAATTGTTCTTGTTGTTTCTAGGTGCTAATGGTTTTTTGTTTTGCTTTTCTTCTCATTGTTTTAGGAAGTTTGGGGCCAGAGGTTCCCGACTTACTGGAGCAGGGTGGGGAGGCTGCACGGTGTCCATAGTGCCCACCGACATGCTGCCCAGCTTCCTCACCAACGTCCATGAAGCTTACTACCGGAGGAACAGCTCCAGCCTGGCCCTGGAGAAGCACAGCTTGTTCGCTACCAAACCTGGAGGCGGGGCTTTGGTTTTCCTGGAGGCCTAAACAATGTAAAACATCTCAGAGAAACTATTTGGGGCATTTAGGGGCTGGCGAGATTTCCCCGGGCCACCACAAATCAGCCCCTTTTCTGTTTTGTTAGGAAGAACGGCTGCTATTATCAAGATGCATTTCCAGAGAAATGGTGAAAGCTATGCTTCATACTGACCACTTCTCTCTCTCAATGGATTTTCTTATGAATCAGAGCCCAGGGCATGCTTAGGCAGATCTTTAAGGTATGACTAATATTTATTGATTTGAAGATTTTAAAGATGAAGAGCAGAATGTACTCTTAATTGAACACCGCTACAATTAAATTGGTACAGCTGAACTGTATGTGTTGTTCTTGAACGGTGGTCACTGCTAGCTTCCCTTAGCCATCTTCCACGTAGCTGAAGCCTTCTGACGTGGCGGTGGATGATGACGATGACGACTGTGGTGACTGTGGCGTCTGTGGTGACCCCGAGGACAGTGATGTTGACGAGCCTCCAAATTCCTCCTTGAATTTAGCTTCCATACGCTGTGAACATAGTACATGGTTAAGGACATACAAATATCCTTAGACACACACACACAGTACAGTTGAATGGGAGATTCCTATGAGTCTGAAGATGGTGATGATCACCTTGGGGGAGGGGCTAAAGGACAGATTGAGTTGGCTTTCTTCCCACTCACACTACATTTCTCAAAGGCCTTTCCAATCCAAGAGGCTGACCATGCTGGCAGCATATCCATACCTCACAGCCCTCTTCCGGACGCCTGGCGAGGCTTGCTTGTGTCCCTGGTCCAGTGTAGGGCAGATGTGCAGTATGTAGGTGCGGGTGAGTCTGCAAAAGCCGTGTGTGATCTGACATTGACGGTGGAGTGAGGACTTAGGACACTTATCAAGAGTGGGCAGAAGTGTCTGGTCATGTGGTGACATGTGAATGGCAGACTCCCAGAAGCCCTTTCTAAGTTACATTGGAGGATGCATAGACCAAAGTGGGTTTTGCTGACATATTCCCGTGACAGAGATAGCAGTTGTAATCGTGGTTGAAATTACCACAATTTTTGTTTCAGATGACTATGTTGGCCCAGTAACCAGCATTCATTTACTGGATTTCACCATCTGCCTGTTTCTAAAGGACCTAGGCAGGCTCTAGAACAAGTCACTAGGAAACCAAGATCCATCCTAAAACCAATTCCTGATGCATTTCCCTCTAAATACTGAGCAACCTTGTGTTAAATTTGTTGAAAGAATTTTGAGTTTTCTTAAGCACAGTAATCTAAGAACCAAATTTGTTTATAATGCAGCATTTTTTTAAGGCTTGTATTCCCCACAAATAATTTGTGGTTGGTTTAGAATTCTTTAAAAAATAAAACTTGAATCATGTGAGATTGTTAGTCCATTTAATGATTTTCACCATGGATTCCTTATTCAGAGGATGAGAAAAATGTTCAGTAATTCTAAATAATCAGTGTGCACACCTCCACGGGGACACGGATGTTCTAAGTTCAGTGTGCACACCTCCACAGGGACACGGATGTTCTAAGAGTTCAATGTGCACACCTCCACAGGGACATAGTCGTTCTCAGTGTTTTGTTTTTGGGGAGGCACAGAGTCCATTGAAACTATCCTACTCAGGGTTGGCTTCCTGTCTGTTAAGAACTGCCTTGAATCTACCTTCAGCAACTGGTGTTCTAGAAATTGTGAGGCCTATCCAGCTCTTTCTTAAAGAAGAGGGATGGGACCAAGAGCACAAGGCTTATGAAGAACTGGACTTTGTGCATGACACCAAAGGCTGGCTAGAATTTGAAGGCTAGTGAGTAGGCAGTGCAGGCCAGCAGAGCATGAGTATAGCCTGAAAACTCCAGGTGTGTGGAAGGCTCTGGGCGAATGCTGGGTTTGCCTTCAAATGCACCAAAGAATCATGTCAGCTGCACTGGCTGGACCGGGCAGCAGTCAGATCAGGAAAACAGGCCACATATGGTCTACAAATGGATTTGGTTTGTCCCATTAGCATTTGAAAATGTGAGCTCTACATCTGGAGATTTTAGAGTCTGGAGTACTGGTGGGAGGCTGGTAGATGTTGATTCCTGCAGGTAACAGTAAAGGAAGCTGAGGTGGCAATTGTCGTGTCAAGGGTGGGCTAGTTTTCACAGCCCCTTGCAGTCTGCCCTGACCTGCACAAAGCACTGCTGTTCTCTTACATGTGGTACGTGCTCACTAGTAGGAAATACATCAAGAAAACTCGGAAGAAGGAAAAATACTTTAAAAAAAAAATCAAGACAAAAAACAGTGACCCTGTGTGTCTAATACGAACACTTGAGTGTTTCGTGGCCTTCTAGCACCTGTCTGTATAGGAATATTATTCGTCCCCAGTTTTGACATTAGACCCATAGCTAATGGGATTGTTCTAGAGTCTAGACTGCAGAGGAGAAACAAACCTTTCATGTTGGATCCCTGCATCCCTGGTCTCAGGGTCCAGCCTGCTAGCTTCCTGCATGCTGGCACCTACACGTCTTGTCCTTTGGAAAGTAAGATCCTTCAGCCCTACCAGTACTCAAAGCCTCAGAGGAGCAGAAAAGGAAGGGCCCAGGGAAATGGACAGGAACTCTCCATCCCTTTCTTTTCTCGTCACGTCTGAGCTCTGTTTGGAGTCCTGTCATGGTCTCGCTTGTGTTTCGATGGGTTGAGGGCAGGAGGCATTTTTTTCACATAGCTGATGGCATCATACAGCTTTGTTGAATTATTAATAAAGCACAACTTTAAGCACCAATAATTTCCTCTCCTTTCTCTCCAAATGCACTTTCCAGGGTCCAGTTACAGAAACTGTCCCAGGGACTGTGTTAGAAGCAAGCAATGAGGACAACGGGCATGAGGTTGTGAGTGTACTTTGGAATGGGTTGTCTCCCCTTTGGAGTGGACAGCCAGTGATAAGAACGCGCTGCCTCTGCCACTGCAGCTTGGGTGTAACAGTGCACCGCTTATGAAACATTGTGAGGTCTGGAGGCAAGAAGCTGTGGAGAGAACTCTCAATTATTTCCAGGAGGGAAACATACCATTTTATGTAGGAAATTCTCAAAATCTGTTTTGACTTCTTGGATGCTTTTGGAAGCCTTTGCCTGGAGCCTAATGGAATAAAGCAAAACACTTGAGCAAACGACTGTTCATGCGCATCTCCCGGCAGTGTTCGCAAAGAACGTGCTCTGCTCTTGCTGGCCCTTCCCACGTATTAATGCAGTTACCTCTTTACCGCTGTAGCAAGCAGGGATAACTTTTATCCTTTTTCTCCACGAGGAAACTGGCTCAGCTATGTTGGTACCCCACACAGAAGGATAGAGAGCAGATGATTTTTAATCCAAGCATTTCCTTCAGGCCTTAGTTCCTACCACCTTGTGACTCTCTACCCAGTGGACGCCTGTCCCCCTCAGCTAGACACATCACACAGCGTTACACTAACTGCCTCCACTGCCCAGATCGTGGGCCGGCGGAGGTGGGGGTGGACTTTCCACAGTGGCGTAGGGGAAGACGAGGTGATGGGCAAGGCACATTTGTGCAAGGTGTGTTCTGGGCCAAGTTTCTTGAAGAAGAGAATCCTAAGGATCTTTCAGCATTTTAGGCAGCAACTACTCAACTCAGAAAGACGACAGTTGATGCAGCAGGCACCAGGAGTCCCCAACTCCTGACACTTTTTCTTTTGTGCACCCCTTGATTTGTGTGTTAATCTTAGACTCATTTGTACTTCATTTTGTTAAAAATCTACCCATCTATGCCTCCTGGTCTTATTGGGATATAAGCCACATTTTACAATATACATTTCAAGAGTTTTGTATGTTCACAGAGTTTTTTTTGACCACCCTCACTATCTAGTCACTGCTTTTTGATCATGTTTCCTCTTCATGAGTCTCATTTTGCATGACTATCTGTGCAGGATGACATGGTGAGCCTGTCCCTGTGAGTGGTGCACGAATTGTCTAGCCACAAGAACATTCCATCTCCCTCTTCTCCTTGCCTGATGCATGTTTCTTTGAATGCAGATTCGGATCCACCCTGAAAACCATTCTATGTTCTGAGCTTCCCAATTCCCACAGGACTCTGTTCCTGTGGGCTCTGACTTGAGTCCCTGGGAATTTGATGTCCTAATTCATGGGTTTCAAATGGGAATGGTAGCTGATTTTTTTTTTTTTTTTTTTTTTTCGTCTGGGGGATAAGATAAGATTTTTAGGCGATGGGTTGGACTTTCTCTGGTGACTGGGAAGGCAGAACATTTATAGACTCTTCAGTCTCTCAGGGGGGCTTAAAGGGCTGCATCGTCTGAGTAGAGGAAATCCGTCAGTCCCCCTCAACTCTTTGTACTTCCCATTTTATACTCCAATTTATAAAATGAGTTAAATCAGCCAAATTATCCCTGCTCCATTGGGGAAACATGTTTACATGTGTAGATGAAGCAGCAGGGACAGAAGTGACATGGGACTGTAGTCCCAGAGAGGCCAATGGAAGGGCTGTTTTCTAGTTCATGTCCTTCCCAGGCAGGACATAGTTATAGGCTAAGTGCTATGGCTGGAGCAAAAAGAGATAATCATAATGTTTAGAAATAAATTAAGTTGGCAGAAGGTGATTTTTTAAAAAAGTAAACGAGTTAGTTGTTGTTTTTAGACCCATGGTTCTCAACCCCTGCATCTCAACCCCCAGGTTGCCTAAGACCATTGGAAAACATGGATATTTACACTATGATCTATAACAGTAGCAAAATTACAGTTATGAAAAAGCAATGAAAATAATTTGTTGGTGGTAACCATAACATAAGGAACTGTATTAAAGGGTTGTGACAATAGGAAGGTTGAGAACCACTCTGTTGATGGACTGTTAAGTAGGATATAATTCTTTTGGGATATTTAATATATGTTTACATGACAAAACTGCTGTGGTTTTTCTGTGAATCTGTTTGTCAATTAAAAGTGACTTAAGCCCTACAGAGTTTAGTATGAGACAAACCGGTCAAGCTCTTTCTCAATTTTTTCCTGTTGCTCTTTCAGGGCCTTGATATCTTCTCTTATTCTTTGCTTGGCTCTGTAGAATATAAATAAAACTCCATCAGCATTTAGAGTTAACATTTAAAAGAAAAGCAGCCAGTCCTACCTGGGGAGCAGTAGGGCAGCAAGCCCTTTGTTCCCAGGGACTCAATGGTGCGCTAATCCTCACCACATTCCCTTTTAGAAACCCGTGATTCAGTGCTTCACACCTGGTGTGACGGTGACAACCCCTCACTGAGTCTGTCAGAGCTTGCTAGCCCCTTTCCCAATATGTGGGGCTGCTGGGGAGGGTGGAGAAGGGGACACATAGGGAGAGGAGCACAGACTGTGTCTTGCATCCTGGGTAGGACTACACTGGCTGCTCCTTCATCTCCCTGAATTCCCAAGGCTGAGTCTGGTCCTTCTTTTCCCCCAGAGGCAACAGTCTTTAGACAGTTACTTTGACATCATGAAGTGGATCATGCCAGATTGTTCTTGTAAAACTTCATGGGCATTCTTGCATAGCCCATTCCTAGCTCTCTAGCACATAAAAGTGTCATGACCGCCCAGGAGCAATCACTCAGATCAAGCACAAGCAGAAAATGTTCCCCGAGAGAACATTTTCCAAGAGTTCGCCCTGTCTCGGTCTCTGCATTACCTCCCAGCTGCCACCCCACTTCCAGATGCCGCTTCCACAGTGCACGGCACTGCTGCTTTCCAGGTCCTCTTGTAAGGTGGCGATGCTCCAGTTTGTTGTCCGGTGACCTGGTCTTCCTACATTTGGGGTGTACCCTACAGGAAGGCTTCCTACCCATTCTAGTCCCTGACAGTCATCAGATTCCATGATCACTACATAGATACTTGACATGAGAAATTAAACTGAGAATCTATAAGGTGTTAAGCAAGACCCCCCCCATCAGTAGAGATTAAGTTCAGGCAATTTCTACTATCACTTCTAGTTATTAAAGCATCGTATATTACAGCCACAGTGCTGCTCCAACTTACCTCCTGAAATCTTTTTGGTTCTTTGCAAATTTTCTCTTGGCCTCCTTGATGATCTCATAGTATGTCGTAGCAGGTGGTGTGCTGGGCTTACAGTCAAGGGATGATTTCCAGTTATGAGTATTTGGGAAAGGTAAATGGGACCCTTCTTAGGGAAATTATAGGGACCATCTGGCCTGGGTGTCCTCTCTTGAGGCTTCAAGTGTAAGTGTGGATGCCTTGTCTGTCGTTATAGAGAACTGAGAGAAAAGACCACTTTTCAGCCTGCTTTAAGCTCGTTTCCCTAGGCATCGTAACTTAATAGTTTTAGAAATCCTGTATTTGTTGGTGTGCATGCATGTGTGTTTAAAAACAGAAATTTGTTAAATTTTTAGTAAGCATTAAAATTCTACCCCAATTTTGCAATCTTGTTTAAGTATTAACTTTGCAATCTATGAGAGCTCCATAGTCTCTTCTAGGAGGCTCAGGGGGTAACCACCAATCATTGCAGATGCTCAGTTGACCTAATCCCAGCATATGGGGAGCTGAAGTCACAAATTCCAGGACAGCTGGGTTACATAGCAATGAAATACACCTTTAATCCCAGTAGCCACACTAGTTGCCATAGAAGTCAGGCGGTGCTTGATTTTAATCCCAGTGGTGAATGCCTTTAATCCCAGCCCTAGAGAGGATTTTAAGACAGGAGGAGACAGTTCTCAGACATAGTCTCATTCTAAGATTCCCGGAGGCAGGATCGCCATTTTGGACTGAGGTCAAGATAAAAGCTAATGGCTGACTGTTTCGCTTTTCTGGCCTTCAGGTTGAACCCCAATTTTTCTTTCTGAGTTTTTATTAATCATGTTTCATACAGTGAAAACATTAACATAGTCAGAAGAGAAAGCTCCCCCATATTTCTGCATGTGTATCCGCTGTCTCATATGATTTTAACGTAAGAGTTGGCATCTTGCAACGATGGCATCACAATTCTTCCACACATACAGGTCTGTGGTAACTGCTGTAGACAGACAAGATTTGTTGCTCCTTGTTGTCTAGATGCTGCCAGGCTGGTCTTGAACTTGTGACCTCCAGTGATCCTCCCACCTCACTCCCCAAGAAGCTAGCACTTCAGGTATCCACCACTGTGCTCTGCTGAAGGAGCTATTTTAATGTTTGCAAAACCTTTCACCGAGGGCCTATGCCTGAGATGCTCTGATGTCCGGATGTTGTGTCTTGGTGTCTGTATAGGAGCACACACATTATCCTGCCCAAGAGTCCAGGGGTGGAGGAGTGCATATTTTAGCTTAGTTGGGAACTGGGGTAGGCATATCGTAGGGAAAAGGTAGTTGTCTCACTTCCTACCTGAACAAGGACCCTGCAATCCCAGATCCACCAAACCTTCCCTCTGCACCAGCCCCAGAACAGAGGACCTAAAATTATCAGGTTGTTTCCACTGCCTGCATGGGGCACTCGTTGTCACATTGATGCACCAAAATTCTTGGCTTCTCTGGGGAAAGACTACAGAAAGTATTATTGATGTCGTAGGTGAATTGGAATAGTGAATGACATGTTTTTCCAGGTAGAGATGGATCTTAGAATGCAAGCATTGCCTGCTGTTACTTAATGAATCCCCTAGAACCCTGGTTAGAAGTTAGCCTTTGTCCCTTGGCACAGGTCTGCTGTGTCCTAAGTGTCACTTGCACAGGTGGGCTTCTGTGAGATGATCTGTGTGGCATTTTGGGCAAATTGGGTTTTCCAAGAAAATACCATTGGAACTGAAATAGAGTTCTGTTTAAGTTCCTAGAAATTTTCCAGTTTGAAGATGTGGCTTTATTGAAATGAGCTGGGTATAAGTTCTTCCTAAAGACATTCTAATTATTATAAAGTGTGGTTCTTATTGTCCTGTACTGTACAGTGTAGTTCTGTGCCATATTATGCAGTGTTGGTGAGGACCTCGGCGTTCTCTTCTACTACTTAATAGCAATGGTTTTCAGTAGACTTTTGTTAATGTGTGTTAATGAGTGTCCTAATTTTCATTCTCTTCAGACACTTAAAGCCATGATTTTATCCCAGCTGAAGAAATATAGAATACTTAAAAGTTGTAAATTATAAATAATGACCATTTTTCTGCCCCTCTGGGAAAGCTGTGGCAGCACGTTTTCCAGTTCCCCTGTCTGCATTGGCCTCTCACCCCATGCATGGCTCCAAGGGTGCATAACAAGCCACTACATGGAGAAGGAGCCATCTGGGGACAAATAAAATTGTTCTCTTCTGAATGTCACAATGGCTGTGGTTGGGCTGTACCTAACCAAGACTGAGATGTCCCAGAGGTCTCAGTTAGAGTCTGGAGTCTGCACTCTCCATGTAGCAGGAAAGAGTAGATCACAGAAGCTGTGGGGTCCAATTACAAATGAGGAAACTGAGGCTCAGATGAAATCTTCCCATTGAATTATTATAAGGCAGGCAGCCATAAGACAACAGGACCATGTAGCTCATGGATGTGATGGAGAATTAGAGACTACCACTGTAAAAATTCCTCCTAATGTGAAGATTTTCCTTCCTTCCTTCCTTCCTTCCTTCCTTCCTTCCTTCCTTCCTTCCTTCCTTCCTTCCTTTCTTTTTCTTTCCTTTCCTTTCCTTTCCTTTCCTTTCCTTTCCTTTCCTTTCCTTTCCTTTCCTTTCCTTTCCTTTCCTTTCCTTTCCTTTCCTTTCCTTTCCTTTCCTTTCCTTTCCTTTCCTTTCTCTTCTGTTTTTGAGACAGATTTCAGCATGTAGCCCGGTTGTCCTGGAACTTTCCCTGTTGACCGGGTGGGCTGACTTTGAATTCATAGAGATCCATGCACCTCTGCCTCCCAAGTACTGGGATTAAAGGTGTGCGCCACTTCACCCAGCTATAATGCTTTTCTTTTCCCCCATTAAGCCATGGAATAGAGCTGACACAAGCACTAGAAAGCAATGCTCAAGTCAAGATCTTAATAGCCTCTTCACTATGGAAAGCAAGGGCCACATTAAAACAGATCAACAGTAACGCCCTGTGCTTCTCAAGTTTTCCCTGACTCTGAGCCCCCATCTCCTTTTGTTCTGAGCCGTGTCCTCTGAGGATGGGTCACTTTTCTAACTATGGTGCACTTCTACTGTAGTTCACGGACCCGAGGAAGAGTCTCAGATGGATGGCAAATGTTCTCTCTTTTGAAAAAGTAGTTAGTGTGTGTGTGTGTGTGTGATAAATGTGTTAATGTGTAATGTATGTGACTATGTGTGAGTAATGTGTGTGTATGATGTGTATGTGATATGTGTGTGTTATGTGTGTGATATGATGTATTTGTGTATGATGTGAGTGTATGATGTGTTGTGTGTGTATGTTGTGATGTATGTGTGTGATGTATGTGTGTGAAGTGTGTGTGTATGTTGTGATGTATGTATGATGTGACATATGTGTGTGAGGTATGTGTGTATAATGTGATGTGTGTGAAGTGTGTGTGTGTGTATGTGTGTGATGTGATGTGTGATGTGTCGGACTTTTGTTCTGTCCTTCCCCAGTCAGTTGGGGATAGAACTCAGGTCATCAGGCCTTTCTGCACAGAGCTTCTTGAGAATGATTCTCTTGACTAGATGGTTTATCATCCACAGTATACAGATTATATGCACATATATATGCACCCATACCCACACACAGTGGTGTATACTCTTAGTACACTGGAGAGCTTATGGGACAACTTTCTCTTTCACGGTTGGGGAAGTTTTCCAGGCACAAGCCCTGTGTACCGGAGCTCTTTCACCATACCTCATTCTTGCTTGGGTCAGGATAATTGTAAATGGCTGCTCTGTAAAGATCAGGGTACTTATGAGTATTTACCCATTTGATACCCAGAGGAGTATCACCAAATGTCTCCTAATTGTCAAAGTCACTCCTGTGCAAGAACCTACGCTTTAGGCCACTCTCTGTTTACCAGTCTCTCCTCTCTTCCGGCAGGCAATTCAGAGACAGGTTTTATGGCACACTGCTCCTAACTAAAAGGCCACCCTGTGGTTGGATGAGTGAAAATTAAAGGGCTTTAGTCAGGGAGGTATAGGGCATAGGGCGCTGTAGAATCCCTGAGTGAATGCAGTGTTAACATGGTCATGGCCATGGTGAGAATCTCAGCCTCAGCCCCAGCAAGGCTCGGACGGATGACAAAGGTTTCCTCGGTGGTCTGTGTGTGAGGGAGTGACCACTGTATACCACTTCCTTCTCACTCGTGATTACAGCCTAGGCTGCTTGCCTACAGAGATCTCCTCTAGTGACTAGCTAATACCTCGGCCCTGTGCTGTACCTAATAAACACACCAAGGTTGCAGGTTGCCAGCAGTACTAGGTGCCACTGTATTAGAGTGAACACCCCAGCTGATCCCAGGTTTCCTGTCCACGTGTCTGTGCGTCTGTCTTTTCGTCATTCCCTCACAGTCCCTGATGAGTATCCCGGGGTCCAAGTAATCGGGAGATGCTCCACGGTGGCCTTTGCTTCCTTGTAAGCTGAGGGGGTGGAAGGAAGGCCGCAGCAGCTGCTTCTCCCACATCACTGCTTCACAGCCATGACAGCCCACAGCCCTGTGCTCAGGGAGCACCCATCAGTGTCTGCCCGAGAAGAGAATCAGGCCACCTGGAGAACAGGTGGGTTCATGGACAGAGCGATGTCCTCATTCTCAGGGTGGGCTGAGGTCTGCCATGGGTGTTTGCTGGGAAAGGAGAGTTCAGCTTTGGGGGCTTCAGTTGAGGCGTCCTGTGGGAAACCTCACACGGAATGGAAAGAAACAAGATCACAGAAGGAGAGAAGCCGCGATGAGTGTCAGGCTGGTCTCTGTTTCAGCGAGCAGCTGTGACTGGCAGCCAGCAGAGGAAAGCAAGGACGCAAGGAGGGGTCTGAATGTGGGGGCTGGAGCCTGGAGGGTGGGCGGGGTAGCAGATGCACGGACAGAAGGAGGGACAGTCACCCTGAGCTGAAACCTATAAAAACAGGAGGAGGGGAAAAGAAGTGCCAAATACCAAAAATAACACAGGAAACACAAACTTTTCTAGAACAAATAAAATGGAATCATAGTCTGCTGTCTGTGTCGTGACTGAAGCAT